TCCTGTGGTATAGATAATGGATAGTGTATATTGCCAGTATTTTACATTGCGTTATGATATGTATGATACGTAGCGTGGATCTGCGCATTGATGTGACAGTTGAAAACTTCGATCGCATTTTGGAACCTGAAAATATTAACCTATTTCAAAGATATTTTGCACGTTTAATAACGAGGTCCAGCGACAACTTTTCCGCACTATTGGAAATTGCTATTGGAAATTTTGATTTTTTCCACCCCACCCTAATGCGCAGCATAATGACGTTTTGGTCAATGACGGACCACATATATGAGAGTAGTCCCGTAAGATTAAAATGGATCTGTCACATATTGTCCTTAAGCATTTAATAGACCTGAAAAATTCCTATTGCCTAGTGACATCGTAGCCATTGTAAAGTCACAGTGCAACACATTACTCACGTGTTTGTTGTGATGCTGGTGTAAACAAGCCTACTGAATGCCCATTGGATAAAAGTATATCACATATAATCATATATGGTACATAATCCTTGATAATGATAATAAACAACAATTTATGTATTTACTATTCTGTTCTGGAGAGGGGAGAAAAGATAGGAGACAGCTTGAATGAAAACTTTATTAATAATAAAAAAAGGAACATATCCAGTTGCCACTAAAGTGCAGAAAACTCTGGCTGGAAGAAAAACATAACTTCAAAATAAAAGCACATCTGCCCTTGGAATTCAGAGCAACTAAGAACCCGCTACACAGGCTCCCCCAGAATTCACAGGGGCAGAGGAAACCACCTCTTAAGGGGTTGGATCACTCGCCCGGACCGGCTCACAGTATCTCCTGCAGGAGCAGGCACAACCGGGACTGGTGCCAGGACTGAACAGCGAGGATGACCTCTATGAAAAAGCTGGCCCAGCGGCACAGGAGCATCTAAATCCAAATGGGCTGGCTTCAAACGATCCGCAGAAACACGGTCGGCCTTACCACCCCTGTCCAAAACAAAAAACTTGTCCCCAGACTGCAGCACATGAAAAGGCCCTTCGTATGGGGGCCGCAAAGGTTCATGACGGGCGTCATGCCGAACAAAAACAAAACAAGCATCTGCCTGCTTCGGGAGAACATGAGACCGCGGAAAACCATGGCGCGACGTGGGTGTTGGACCGAAAGCGGCTGCAGTGTCCGAAAAAACCAATCGCTGTCCACAAACCAAGCAAAACCCACGGCAAACTGTCAGACCACGAAGCACCCTGAAGAGATGCACGAAGGGCAGCCTTCAGAGAGTGGTGAAAGCGCTCACACAACCCGTTAGCTTGTGGGTGATAAGCAGTGGTGCGGTGGAGAGTGATCCCTAACTCACAGGCAATTGCACTCCACAAGTCGGAGGTGAACTGTGCTCCACCGTCAGACGACAGGTCAGCAGGCACACTAAAACAAGAGTCCCAGGAGCTGATGAAAGCCTGAGCCACATCTGCCATGGCTGTGGAGGTTAATGGCACCACCTCCGGCCAGTGAGTCGTTCGATCAACGATGGTCAAAAGGTGTGTGTAACCACGGGACGGTGGCAACTCGAGAGACAATCAGCCACTACATTGTGTTTGCCAGTGACATCATGGATGTCTGTGGTGAACTCAGAAATAAACGCCCAACCCTAATTCACAATCAACCCATGAGCACTGAGACATGCAAATAATGCCTCAAATGCTCATTCAAAGTGTTGCTAACAACCAAGATGTCGTCCAAATAAACAAAAAGAAAAGGCATGTCCCACACAACACTGTCCATCAAACGCTGAAAAGTTTAGGTCGCATTCTTTGGCCCAAAAGGCATCCTGAGAAACTCAAACCAAAAGGTGTGACGACAGCAGTCTTAGGGATGTCCTGAGTGTGTACTGGGCCCTGATGGTAGCCCCTAACCAGGTCCACCTTTGAAAAAATGACAGTTCCTGCCAAACGGGCAGAGATATCTTGGATGTGAGGGATAGGGTAATGGTCAGGGGTGGTGGCATCATTAAGGTGCCTATAATCGCCACGCAGGTGCCTCTACCCCCAGGTTTGGGCACCATGTGGAGAGTAGAAGACCAGGGGCTGTCAGAACAATCTCTAAACGCTCAGATATGGCAAACTCCTCTCTGGCAACAGCCAGCTTTTCAGGGTCCAGGCGCCTAGCCTTGGCATGCACTGGTGGGCCTGCCATGGTGATGTGGTGCTCCACACCATGTTTAACCAAGGACACGGCAAAGGTGGGCACGGTGTGGTTAGGAAACTCTGCCGGGAGGTGCTGGAAAATGTCGGCTGAATTCGAAATACCAGACAGGTTGGAAGGGCCAGCCTCACTAAGGGTGCACGGAAAAGAGCAAAAAGTTTCCGCATTGATCAGATGCCTGTTTTTGACATCCACCAGCAAATTGTTGGCACACAAAAAAATCAGCCCCCAAGAATGGGGTGGAAACAGACGCCAACAAAAACCCACCGGAAACACTGCCCATGAAAACAGAGGTCCACTGGCCGCTCTTCGTAAGTGTCAATCGAGGTTCCGTTGGCAGCCGCTAGGGGAAAACCACGCTCTCCAGACCGTTTATTCAGCTATGACGCCAGGAGAATGCGCACCAAAGCACCAGTGTCACAAAGAAAACGCCAGCCAGAAATGGAGTCCTCAATAAACAGCAAACTGTCTTGCCCCCCAACGCCCAGCACAGCTACAGGGCGCAGATCCTGATGTTTCTGGTGGCTTGAAAGAGCAGGGTGGGATGCATTTCTTGGCGCGCACAACAAAATGGGCATGATAAAAACAGTAAGCGGTTTTAGAGCCACGCTTTGCTGCAGCGACAACACCAGGGGCAGAAAAAGTGCAAAAAAAGCACAAAAAACTGGCCGGAAGAAAAACAAAACTTCAAAATAAAAACATGTCTGCAATTGGAATTCTGAGCAACTATGAACCCCCTACACTGTACTTTTTATTGCTATTTAGGCTATGCCATATAGCCTATGGGATGTTCTGCAAAACAGGATATCTCTGTTAGCTGGGTTAACTTAAGCTAGAGGTCATGATTGTCTAATAAAAAAATAAGTAAGGAGCATTCCTATTGGACAATCATGACTTATAGCTTAAATTAACCCAGCTAACTGAGAAACCTTGCTTTGTGGAACACCCCGCAGGTGTGTAGTAGGCTATACTATATTGTACATACATTATTTCTACTATATATAGGCTGCTTTTACTATATGTTATTGGTATGATTACGTAGGTTATTTTTTGGTCTGGGAATGCTAAAAACTTTTTTCCATATAAATTAATGGTAATTGGTCATTCACATTACGCCATTTCAGGTTACAAAAGGTGTCATAGGAACGTTGTACTTCTGGATAGTGGGGGAAGCCTGTACTGCATCCTGATAAGTGATCATTAAGTGGATTATTGCTGACTTCTCATTTGCCCTTATTTGATGTGGTCTATAGGGAATTACCTATATGTTGAGAGCTCCTCTCCAAGCAGAGTAGGGGACGTGGCCCAGCTGAAGTCCCCTCTGCTGCCACCTGCTGGCCCCCAAGGCTACTGCATCACTCTCTGGTACCACATGTTTGGTGCCACAGTTGGAAGCTTAAGGTTGTACTTGCAAGAAACTCAGCCCCTACAGAGGACACTGGTAAGGCCGGTCTGTGGTCAAGCCTGGGATGTGGGGGGGCAGTTACAGTTAACAAACCGGACACAACATACTGTACAAGGGGATTTCTACAAACAAGCAATTCTGGTCCCTGTGTCAAGGTCACTAATAGAAAGTAAGCAACTGAAAGGTATATGTCTCAGGGCTTAAAGGAGCCCTCAGCTAACATGTGGGAAAAGTGTGTCACCCAAGGAGGGGGCAGTGATAATTAGCAATTAAAGTTTTTGAGAAATCGGCTTGACCGAGATGAGCAGTTATTAGAGATGGCTTTGAGTTGCTTCTGTTTCACTAGACCTCCTCTCCCACCCCGCATCCCCTCCCCCACAGATGTGGAAGAGGCAGGGCATGCAAAGCGACATGTGGCAGATGACCCAGAGTCATGTGACCCTGCAAGAGGTCCATCAGGTGGTGCTGGAGGCGTCGGTGGGTGGTTGGGCGGGAGACGTTGCTCTGGATGACATCAGCCTTATCCCTGGAGCTTGCCGTCACTCCGGTACACCCTTTGCTGGTGACCTTGGCTGTTGATACCCATGCTTGGTTATCAGCTATGATGTATTAACCTAGAAGGAATAACACTGTTAAATGTTAAGGATGTCCAGTGCTGATCCGCGGCTTTGGGACCACAATCATCTCATCCTTATTCCTCTGGTCTGCATGCATCCCACGGACCCAGGACCCACAGACCGGTGTGACTTTGAGGAGAGTGACTGTGACTGGACCTCAGAGAGCTGGGTGCGGCGTTCCGGTGGTGGTCCCAGTAGGGAGCCAGGATCCGATCACACCACCGACACGCCCCATGGGCGTTACTTTTACCTGGGCTCCTCAAGCTCCCACCCCCCCAGTCACATGGCCTCACTGATCTCCCCACAATTCGCTACAGGTAAATCGAAGTGAAATTTACCCACATCCTGCTGAAGTCTCGCTGTCCCACTCCATGTGCTTGATGGTCTCACCTTCTGTATCTGCCTATCACAGGAAAAGGTGACTGTCTACAGGTCTGGTACCACATGGATGGGGACAGCATAAGTACTCTAAACATGTATCAGCAGAGCGAGGATGGCGGTCGCAAACTTGTTTTTTCAAAGACTGGCAGCCAGGGGGAGCTGTGGAGGCTTGGCAATGTCAGGCTGGATCATATGGAGGCATCTGCATTCCGGGTAAGGCTGGCTTAGTTGGGTCATGACTGATAGATTTGCGATCTTCATGTCACCACATAGCAAACTCTCTCTGAAGATAAGGTTGTTGGACAATTCCTGTCATTATCATGTTTCAGATTGTGGTAGAGGGTGTCTGGGGGACAGGGGTATCTGGAGGCGTCGCCATTGACGATGTGGTGCTGTCTAATGGAGCCTGCCCACCACCTGGAGTCTGTGACTTCCAGGGGAGTCTGTGCGGGTGGACCAACATTGAGGCAGGCGACCAAGCCGATTGGCTACGAGGGAGAGGGACCTCCCCTCTTCCCAGCACGGGGCCCCGCGTGGACCACACCATGGGCTCCAGCCAAGGTGGTGTCTCCATGGAGAACGTGGTGCAAGACAAGGGCAGAACGATATTAGCCAAACTTATAAACAATACGTTGAGAGGCTCTGAGAATGTTTGAGTTGACAGTTGGTCTCTTGCCAGGCTACTACGTGTACGTGGACAGTGCAGTGGGACAGAAGGGTGACAAGGCCATGTTGTATAGTGAGGTCTTCCAACCAACCCAGGGAGATGGCTGCTTGAGCTTCTGGTACCACAGGCATGGTCAGAACATCGGCAACCTCAGCCTCTACAGCGGCACCAGGTAGCTCAGCCAGCAAATCTGTGATGAACAAAACCAAGTCTCCCAAAAGAGCCCCTCCCATAAACACCTCATAGGCAAGGACTGCTGGCTAGTCTTGGGTCCTCACAGCACTCTTGAAAAACCCAGGAACCCCTTTGGTGATGACGAGAAGGACTTGGCACTGCTGTGGACAGAGGCCGGCAGCCAAGGGGACACCTGGATAGAGGCCACTGTGGCAGTCAGCAACATGGAGCCATTTTGGGTAAATGAACATACATGTTCTAAAGCTAGCTTACAACCACCTGTCTATAATGTAAAGTCATACCTATTATGTCACTCCTGGAACAGACCTATATGGTATGTAGCCAGCAGTATTTCTTTGAGATACCTTCAGTAACATTCTAAAGATAACCCTAATACTCTGCCTCCCCCCTGTAGTTTGTTTTTGTATACCAGAGAGGGGAGGGCGGGCTGGGACACCTGGCTCTGGATGACATCCAGCTCATCAAAGGAAGATGCTCCACCATCAATTCATCCCTGTCTTCTCCAGGTACTAGCTGATCATTTTATTACTATTGGTCTGTTAAATATAGGCTGGTAGTTCCGCAGAACTTCATTATTAATAATTATAATGCTGTTGTTAATGTAAGAGGACTTTAGCAGGTGAGCCCTTTGTTTCTCCATGTTGGTCACTCAGCTGCAGTTTATGTCGGCGTGGGTTTGGGTCTCGTGCTTTCTGTTGCACTGGGGGTCATCGCTAGCGTGGTCTTACTGCAGAGGAGTTTGTCCACCATGTAAGTTGACTCATCGAGGCATTTAAGAGGATGAGATTGGGGATGATAGTGACGAATGCCTGCTTCTGTAACCATGACGTCGTCTTCTGTTTTGTGAGTGTAGGATACCCAGTGCGGGAGACCGTGACTTGGACAACATCATCTTCCACATGCATGACTGCAAACTAGATGCGAGTGAGCAGTGGTGAACAGACAGAAAATATATACCTAAAAAATCTATTATATATAATTCTGCTATGGGTCATGGCTACGTGCTGCTGTCCATCCAGAAACTTGTGAGATCGAATCTCATGACCAGCAAAATAATCATATCATTGTTCAGCCCTTGAGCATTGGACATAACCTCAAATGCTCTGCATGCTGGCTTACCTTGCGCTCTGAAGCAAGAGGAATAATTTCAGATGCTGAGGTGGCACATTTTGGTTGTTCAGGCTCAAAAGTGGCATACTTTGTGTAGTCCTGTTGCCTAATGTCTTCCAGGGATGTGGGTTTGATTCCTAGGCTCAGGTTTGTTGCTGTATCAATTCTTATTCTCCGTAAGTCTGTTATGTATTTCCCTCCAAAAATATGATGAACCAGAGTTATGCAAAGTTTGTGAGTGTCTGCCCTGCAATGGACTGGTGTCCTTGCCTCTTCTCCGGGGACTTCAGTCTCCCCAAGACCCTGATCTGGATAAGTGGTTATGGAAAAAAAGTTTGAAATGTTCAAGACCTGTAATGTTTGGTCTTTGGGCTCCCTTTTCCAGGAATTGGAGACCACAGGTTCCTCTGAGAAGCTGACAAATATGTCCCCCGCTGTTGACATGGACACCGAAACATCGTCATCGGAAGCCTAGCAGGAAAAAACAATCAACACTGATGACTTTTTTAAAGTTAGATAAAAGTTTGCCGATATGAATGGGACCCTCCAAGCATGACCTCGGATATCTAGCGGAAAGATTTCCAGGCCAAAGCATTTTTTTCTTGCAAGATCCCTTTATCCAAATCTTTTTCAAAAATTACATTATCATGAAGAGGGCAATATCACTAGACGTTAACTGTTATGTTGACTTTCAACAGTCACTCAGAAATGTACTGTTAGTACACGTTTACCTCATGTATTATGGGGTTAATGTGGTTATTGGCAGAGGAGACTCTGGAAGGACACGTCCCCCTCGATGTTTACACAGTACATTTATGAAGTTTAATTCTTTTAAGAGACATTATTTCAGCATTTCATACTAGTTTGTTTTTGGTGAGGTTCAGCTAGTGAGGGTTTACAAATGTTTCATATAATGAAATATTCCTGAAAGCCTCTACACCCGCATGTGCAATCCAAGACATGATGGGATGATAAAACCATACATTGTACACGTTTTGTCCATATTCACTTCAGCATTTGATGGGTTTGTCATTTCTTACTGCAATTTCTGAAAGTATGGGGTCTGGTCACACTCAAACACTGGTACGGAGATCAATGATGGACAGAAGTGTTGGATGTGATGAGAAGTTCCACAATGTGGTCAAGACATGTCAAGGCCCTCCACACATGTAATATGAACTATGAGCAATAAAATATAGGAAATTACTTTCTGTTGTGTTAATCACACTGCGGTTATTCAATGTTAGTGCACAGCATGCAATTAGATATTATAGTAACTCATCTCCATCCATCACTGTAACCACTACCTCCACCTCCGGCAACTACCCTCCAACCTGCCTGCCCTTGGCTCACGCGATGCCTCGCCATCCTTCCCTGCGGCTGTGCCTCTATTAATCCTGCCATCGTGCATCAAGCACCCCGTGCCT